ACTCCGCCAGATTCGGCCGCCTTGCTAGCGGCCTCCTGCACATCTGGGGAGAACGCAAATGTCGCAAGTTCTCGTTACACTTACGAGGACTATGCTGTCCACTTGGTTCCACCGCTGGACCAACCGCTCCACGTGCAACAATCTACCGCATGCACGGTTTCATCACCATCGGCAACCGATTCGGCAGATTCGCCGCCATCTATCGTCGGGGATTCATCGTCGTGGTCAAGACTTGAGGTGCTCGACCCACTGACGTTCATGGACTTCCAGTGGATGCCCGTTCCCCCGACCGGACGATTGTCGAAACCGCATTGCAATGTGCTCATGGCACAACTGCGAGATTACTTGCACACTGCAGTACCGACTCCGTTGATGGACGCCGGAGTAAAGGTTGTTGACCTTCACGTCTACATTGCGAAGATCGACCGCGAGTTCAAGACGCAACGGTACGTCGACATCGACGCACCATTGCTATATGTACGCATTCAGATCGAAGAAGCAACCTGCAGCGCTTTGATCGATTGCGGAGCATCTCGCAACTACATCAGCCAGGACTTCATGGTGCGCGCCGGCCTTGGCCCACGCGTCCGGAGGAAGCCCCAGCCTACGCAAGTCACATTGGCGGACGGTCACACACACAAGTCAATCGACCGGTGCATTGACAGCGTCCCAATGTACTTTGCCCCTCACGCAAGTGAGGCGGTGTCCTTTGACATTMTGGACACCAAATTCGACATGATCTTGGGCATGTCATGGCTGCGAAGCAAGGATCACCYGGTGAACTTCTTCAACCGCACCGTTCCCGTTCGTGACCGGAACGGAGTATTAGTTCCATGCACGGTGCCTCTTCCTCATCCTTCGATCAACTACCACGTGGTATCCGCCGCAAGCATGCGAGCTTCTATCATCAGAGACGACATCGAGGAGATGGGGGTATGTTTTCTCCACGCCCTCCCGCCCCATGACGCTTCATCGACGGACTCACCTTCGGATCCACGCATCACCGAGCTTCTCGACGCCAACAGCGACGTGTTCGAAGGCCCGCACGGAGTAGTACCGGATCGGCCCATCCGCCACGAGATCATCCTCGAGGACGGGGCCGTACCTCCGCGTGGTTGCATCTACCGAATGAGCGAGGAAGAGTTAAGTGTGCTTCGGGCACAACTCAACGACCTTCTGGAGAAAGGCTGGATTCGGCCTAGCTCATCGCCATACGGTGCTCCTGTTCTCTTCGTCCGGAAGAAGAACCAGGATTTGCGGGTGTGCATCGATTATTGCAAGCTCAACACGCAGACGATCAAAAACGTCGGCCCTCTCCCACGCATCGACGATCTTCTCGAGCGACTGGGCGGCGCCAAGTTCTTCTCCAAGCTCGATCTCAAGTCAGGATATCACCAACTCGAGATTCGCAAGGAGGATCGCTACATGACCGCGTTTAAAACGCGATATGGGCATTTCGAATGGCTGGTYATGCCATTTGGCCTTACGAATGCCCCGGCCACTTTCCAACCGGCTATGACAACGGAGTTCCGACACATGCTGGATCGATACGTACTTATCTACCTCGACGACATCCTGGTGTACAACCGGAGTTTGGAGGAGCATGTGGAACATCTGCGCACCGTTTTGGAGCGGCTACGACAAGCCAAGTACAAAGCCAACCGCGACAAGTGCGAATTCGCGCGGCAGGAGCTGGGATACTTGGGCCATTATGTGACGCCGCAAGGCATCCGCCCGCTCGCGGACAAGATCGAGGCCCTACGAGTATGGCCCGAGCCCACCAACACCGCGGACGTTCGTTCATTCATGGGATTGGGGGACTACTATCAGCGATTCATCACCGGATACTCCGGGATTGTTGCACCTATGATGAGGTTACAGTCGCCAAAGGTGCCATTCGTATTCGATGACTACGCACGCCGGTCATTCCAAGCACTTAAGGCGGCTATGCTCATGGCACCCGTCCTTAGCATCTATGACCCCACCTTGCCGACGAGAGTGACTACGGACGCTTCCGGCTATGGCATTGGGGCAGTCTTGGAACAGCACGACGGCGACGACTGGCACCCTGTGGAGTATTTCAGCCACAAAGTGCTTCCCATCAACTCGCTTGATGAGGCAAGGAAGAACGAGCTACTCGTGTTCGTCATGGCTCTCAAGCGATGGCGGCACTTCCTCCTTGGGCGTCGTAGGTTCACATGGGTCACGGACAACAATCCATTGACCTACTACAAGACGCAGGATACGGTGAGCAGCACGATCGGACGATGGATGTACTTCATCGACCAGTTTGACTTCACACCGAAACATCTACCCGGCCTCTCAAATCGCGCAGCAAATGCACTATCGCGAAGACCAGATCTTTGCGCTATGACACATCATGCCTTCGCATTCGACGAGGAGCTTCAGCGACACTTCATCCAGGCATATGAGTCTGATCCGGACTTCGCCACGCTGTACGCACAGCTATCTTCGGATCACCCGCCGGCCAGCCACTATCGCATGCCGACAGATACTTGCTCCTCCACTCGAGAGGCAAGGGCTTATTGTGTGTCCCACGCGACCGTCATCTTCGGACTCGCCTCCTCGGCGAGTATCATGATTCACGACTCGCCACCCATTTCGGAGTCAACCGCACTATTGCACGGCTTCGACAGCGATTCCGATGGCCCGACCTCATTACTGATGTCACTCGGTATTGCGACTCGTGCGAAGTTTGCCGACGCAGCAAACCCCGCAACCGCAATCCCTATGGCGAGTTACACCCGATGCCTATCCCACGGGAACCCGGTCTCTTCATTGCCATGGACGTCACCGGTCCGTTTCCTCGCGACCAGCTCGGGCACGACGACATCCTCACGGTTGTGGACCGATTGAGTAAGTACGCGCGTTTTCTCCCTTGCAAGTACTACTCCACGGCTCCCGAGCTAGCACGCCTCCTGCACACTGGTTGGATTTGTGGCCACGGTGTACCAGAAGACATTGTCAGCGACCGCGACACTCGTTTCATGTCGACGTTTTGGACTGCTCTCATGCAGGATTCCGGCACAACAATGAAACCAAGTTCGGCTCGACATCCTCAGACAGACGGGCAGACGGAGCGGGCACATCAAACCGCTCAARTGATGCTTCGTACGCTCATTCATCCGGACCAGAAAGATTGGGTTGACCGCCTCCCCGACATCGAGTTCGCCTACAACACTTCGGTGCACCCGGCGATCGGCGTGACTCCATTCGAGTTGCACCACAGTGGACGGAAAGGCCGCATCTTCGCCGACCTTCTCCTCCCTCGACCAGCCGACATTGACGCCGCTTGCTCCCCCGCTTCCGTTCGGAAGTACAGGGACTTGCTGACTCAAGCCCGCGCAAATATGCAAAAGGCTCAAGTTCGCATGCAGCAGCAAGCCAACAGGCGTCTCGTACCATGTCCCATCCGCGCTGGTGATCTGGTTTGGGTCTCTGTGGAAGAGTTCGCACTGGAACAGGACGTTTAACGCAAACTGCTTCCCAAGTGGTTTGGACCTTGGTCTGTGACAGCAGCCGCGGGCGGTGAGCCCGATGGCCCTTCATTTGTGATCAACATTCCAGAGCATCTGACGGTCCATCCGGTCTTCCACGCCTCGAAGCTGGCAACDTACACGCCAGCCAAGAGCGACGATTTTCCGGACCGACGATCGCAGGACCCTCCTTCTATGGATGG